CTGGGCATCATCATCTATCAGTAAGGATCAGCTCCTCAATCTACTCAACAAAGCAGCACTAGTAGATTATGTTCTTCTGAGTAATTGCTTCCTTTACGATGTGAGTTATGTGTGATATTAAAACTTTATCTGCAGATATTTGCTGAGAAACCTGCTGTCCGGCAAGCATACTTGAATTTTGTTCCAAACAAGGTCCGTAACTTTCTAGTCGAGAAAGAATGAAATAACACCATTGAATACTAAATTTTTCTGCAATCCAGATGTCAGACAAGGAATTTTGGACAAAATTCTCGAGAGCCGAATATCTCCACAGCACTAAGAATGTAGTTGCTGCTGCTGCTGAGGCTGCTGAAGATGAAGAACTTGCTATCTTTCTGAAGAAAGATGACATATTGACAAAGGGAGCTCGTAAAAAGGTTAATAATAACCCACGTTAAAAGTGTTTGTGTGTGTGTGTGTGTGTCGTGTAACTGAAATTCTACAGTTGTTTTAACATATTCATCTGATTTCAGCTGAGACGTGTTGATCCAACTTTGGACATGGAAGCTGATCTTGGCGATGATTACATACATCTCCCGGTACTTCTGTTGGAATCCATATTTTGTAATCACATTGTAATGATGCATTTACATGTTTTTGGTTGATGATGCTTCTCTGACTATTGAAGTTTATTGTGTATAATTAGGATCGCAGTTTGTTTTCCAAAGTGAGTAAGGATTTTCAGGAGACACAATACGATCCATACAGAAGATACTTCTCACAAAACCTCAATCAGCATGCTGCTGTTGTGCTTCAAGGAAGAATAGTAGGTACGTTGAACTGTGTAGTGTGTGCCTATACAATATCCAACGGATAGTTAAAACTTTTCCATGTGATATTTCTAACTCAAGATTTAGATTGTTATCTCCAGTATTCATCAAATATTAGCATATCAAGACTGGTTCAACTACCAAAATTAATACAAAGTAAAATGCGTAGCATTCTGTAAATGAGAGGGATTTCATTTATTTCTTCTGTTTCATAAGACGTGAACCATAGTTAATAGGAAAATGCTAAGGTGGCATGCATTCCTTACAAATATTTGATCCATAGACACTATTTATTCACTTAAAGTCTATACTTAATACTCCACCTCCATATAACAGTTGGGATCAGGAAGGTAAAGTAGCGAAATATTTCCTTTTACATACTTATGATTATGCTTAAGTTTTATCATATTTAATGAAGTATCTATGCTTCTAATAGGATTCTTTAATACGTAGGCTTGTTTACTTCACAAAATTAGATAACAGATCTGATTGGTCATAGAATTTTGAGTAAGTTATCCATATGCCCAATGTGTACTTGGTATGATTATTTGGATGATGTATTGTGTCGACTGCTTTGTATTAGGTAGAATGGTGAAGTGTTGAAACGCATCTAATTATGGGATGAGATATCCTATAGAATGCAAAATTAACCCGGGCTTTAAATCAGTACTGGATAGTGGCGAGTAAAAATATACTGCACAAATGTTGCAGAAGTATTTTGGTCTATGCCTGACTCAAAAGAATATATGACTTTATATATAGAAACTTTTGCTGCAGAAATACATCAATATTTTAAAAACGTAAGTATGCCGAAAATCATAGATAGAATTGATACAAATTTCCACAACTTCATAACTAAAAGCACCCGATTTGAGAAAAAAGAACTTCAAAATAACAAATTAATAAAAAAAGTGTCGTTTAATCAAAGAAGAACAAGTTAAGGCTGCCATTTGGAAAAATATGTAAAAGAGAACACCCGAGAGAAGCAAAGGCAGCAACTGAATAAAAACTCTTTATCCTTCCCAACTATAAATAGGCGACTTATTCTTACACATTATCATTTTACATTATTTGAACTGAAACCATTTCCTCTAATTAACCCTTTATCATTTTACATTAACATCGAACCATGAATAAATTGCCTTTAGTTTTACCAGTTTAACGTTGATTCAGTTTTCAGAACCTTGAGTATTAACAAATAGTGATTGTGTTATGTGGTGTTCTGATAAAATGAGAAATGAGGACAGTGTTATAATTTTATTGTTGGATCTTTTGAACTACTCGTATTCAAATGATGAGTTTAATGAATAATTAAAATATTATTTGGATTCTTATTAGTTTAAATGATTAGATTTACAAATTCCTTGAGCTTCTATCTGTAAATATATTATATATAATTTGAGCATATAAATAAATAATGCTATTAGTTAATCAGTAAATTCTTTGTAAACAAATTTTGATGGAAACTAGTGGCTTATACTTTACGGTTGGACAGTAAATTTTTTTGTAATTCCAAGACAGTTGTAATTGTATCCAATGTTTGCAATAATCTATAACCAAAAAGTTTTTGTATCTCGCCCTTTGTAAATGTGGAATCTGGACCAAAAACTTTCTTTTTTCTTTACTAAATTGGACGTTTGAGGATTAGATTTGCCAATTCTCTAAATTGAGTCAAAACATCTATCTAATTTTATCCAATCAGCTTGCTATCAAATATGGTGTAACTGTGTTGTACAATGTTTATTAAAGAAGTTAAATAACATGTTAATTTTGTTTTATAATGCAACACCGAAGTGAACCTGACCGGGAGTTTCATTTACATCCGTATCATCTCGTTTGATGGGTTGCTGCTGTAGTAAATGTTCAACAGGAAACCTGCTTTTGAGGGGTCTTCAGGCCTTCACCCATAACCAGTTCATGTTTTATTGAGTAACTAGATATTTGTTATTATGCTTTAGTAGTGTTGTGCTTTTTTATTTTCTTTCTTGTTTATTCAATATAATCACCTTGTATTATATGAATTATATTCTTTTGGAATATGTGAACTACTGTTTCATAAAAACTTGTGGGTTGTTTTCAAGCAAGCTGACTTTTTTGTGTATATTGTTCAGCATCGATAACTTCTCCTTTTTTTGTTTCTAAACCATCTCCATGCAGATGAGCTTCGAGATCCAAGGGCCATGGCAGAAACAATTGCCCGCACAGAACAAGGTTGACTGCATATATAGAGTTGGTAATCTGGGTTGGAGTTGGACTTGGGCTCGTATGAGACAAGATGAGCTCATCCGACTTGTTTCCTTGAATGAGCTCTTTGGCAGAATAAAAAAGTTAAAATAATGGCTAGCTAAACTTGGCTACAAAGCGAAGCCCAATTTTTATTTATTTTAATATATCTATTTGTGTGGTCATGTGTGTATACATATTTACATATGTATAGGTACTAATATAAGCCATGCTTATTAGAATCGTGAAAATGAAATTATGCAACTAATATCTGCAGTGCTTTTGCAGTCGAGATGTCTAATGCTAGGTCCAACGGGAATATGGAGAAAGATGTCTTGAATAGGATGTCAAGTATGGCTGAGATTGAGGATCTTCAGGGCCCTCGAGAGCCTGCAGTTGCTCCCCTCTGTATTACGGTAAGGTTTGACCCTCAACTGCAAGTATAAATCTGCCAGAGGAACCATACACGACACAGGAAAATCTGAAAGATGAAGTCATTGCTTTGGAGCGCAGGATCCTGTTGACTACTTTGATTCTCAACAAGCCAATGCATTAAAAGCATTAGGAGATGCTGCATCTGATGGAAAGACTTTAAAATTTAACACAAGCCCAAGTGAAGCGTATGGTTCTCTAAGAGACCATATATCAGAAATTAGAATGACTGGGTTAAATAAACCAATCACAAATCCAGAAATTTCTTTTAAGGTATTATTATTATTGCGATTATTATGATATTTCTTCACAAGAATGTTGATCCAGAAAAAAATAACTCACTGTTGTCTTTAGGTTCTTAACGAATTGATTAAGAATATACCAAAGACTGAGTCCTCTCTTGGAAAGGACCAGAATGATGAGAGTGTCTTGGAAGGTTTGCCAGAAGTAACTAAAGACAGTGTCCGTGATGTGAGTGTACATATACTATTTGACTCAACACATTTTACATTAGTAGTTCGGTGTTATATCTGGTTTGTGACTGCATGATATTTTCTTTACTGTTTTGTAGCATTGGACTCCAATCCAGGAGTTGTTGAAGCATTTTTGGTCATCATATCCAATTACAACAAAGTATCTCCATGAAAAGGTAGTTACTCAATTTTAAGTGCATGAAGCAGTCATAAACAATGCGAACATACAAGTGGCCACAGTGTTTTACAAAATTATCACATCTAGTTTTAAGGATTTAAAATTTCAATTAGATGAGTTATATTGATTGGTATGGACTGTTGATTTCGCTTGTAATTTCCAGATGTATTTTGATAGATAAAAAATCTAATACTAATGGTCAACGTGTTTCTCTCATTTATGCCATATCTCTGACTCCTAGAATTTGACCGATTACTCATGACAGGTGACACGATTGAAAAGTGCATTGACAAATATGTATCCAAAGGTTCAGGTATTCTTTACTCTTCAGTCTTCAAACTATTAACCTATTATATCCATACCCAGTGATGCTAAGTATTGCCAACCAGCCAAGCTGAGCCAGATGGCCAAGTTTTGGCTCATCTTGCTCTTGGGCTCTTTTTGGCAAGAGATTTTCTGGAACCGAGCAAGAGTCTAGTTCAACTCCCTTATAATTGGTTAATTAAGAATCTTGGGATTCAAATAGAGCCACTTGCCCGTAAATGTGTCTTACTTTCCATAACTTGTTGCTGTTACAAAATTTTGTTTCTTATTCCAGGAAATTAAGGAATCTGTGCAGCCAGACATTCGCCATCAAGTTTCCTTGCTTGTCCATCCAATGCTTCAGGTATATTAGTGTAGCCAAGTTTGTTAAACCCTGTACAAGGGACAGTGAATAATATTGGAAATAGAATGATTCTTTTTACTGTCCCAAAAGATGAGAACTTTTGTTTAGGTCTATTTTTTTCTAGTGATTGAAATTTATTGAAAATACTAATGATGTGTCCCAAGAGAATAAAATTGATAGTTAAAGTAGTGTGAGTTATGGTTTGGGTAAGGGAAGCATGCTTTTCACTTCACATAATAGTTTTTTATTTATTATTTATTTATATAATTAGTTACATTTATAGGTTTAAGGACAATTGGGAATTCTTCTTTCATTATCTTCAATCTTTACCCCTTGAGTTCCTATTCACGGTTGTGATTTTCTTATTTCATTGTGGTTCTCAATTTTCAGACTTTGGGATATGATATATAGAGTCCATGTGTCTTGACAAACTTTGACTTACAATAGTTGTCAATACGAACTCTATTGTAATGATGCAGGCTTTAGATGCTGCGATAGAACATTATGACGAAGATATGCAAAAGAGATCTGCAAAGCGCGGAGAAAGACGGCAGACATAGCTAATTGAGATCGGCTAAGTAAGCATTTAGCTAATCGAGAATTTGAGATGGGATAAGCATGTGGTTTCGTGTAGCTGATGGCGAGTAAATGATATTTTTGTCGTCATTAATTTTCATGCATTTGAACTCAATATATACGTAACTAAATGAGTCGATCTTGGTAGTTGGATTATCCAGAACATATCTTGTTTTTTCTTTTCTTTTCTTTTTCCGCTTACTAAAGTGATATTAATAGAGGTGCACAGATTCTCCAAGGATTATTGTGTTTGAGCTCGCTTGAGTATATCTATATTTATGTATGCATGCATGCATGTAAATATCGAACATGAGATTAAGCCATGGGGAAATAAATGAGAATATGTTTCAGCCATGGAATTTGAATAATCAAATGAATGTGTAAATTGTGTATGTATGTATGTATGTATGTATGTATGAATGTCAAGATCACAGGAGAATAAGCCATGGTGAAATAAATGAGAATATGCTTCAGCCATGGTATTGGTGTTGAATAATCAAATGAATGTTAAATTTTGTTTGCNATTTTTATTATAGTTTTATCTTTGGAGCTTTTTGTCTCAACTTGAACAAACCAATCCAGTCCCAGAAAAGCTTCGCTTCACCTCATCCACTGTGTGTGTGTGTGTGAGAGAGAGAGAATTTGACTACAGGAGTACGTCATTTCTTATGGGGATGAAAGGAGCTCAATTCTTATTTTGTAGATTTCTAATACAACTTTTCATATTGAGTCTTATTTTTGAATTCTTTGTTTATAAGGAACACACATTAGTGACACTCAATATGATAATGCTGGAAAATATGCAAGTATATGCACAATAGTATGTAATCAATGCATATTACACCATGTAAATAAACAAAAACTGCAGCCTTGAACATGCATTGTAAATTAAATCTCATGATTGAGAGTTTAGATTTATTCTCATTTCTCACATTCGCAAACATAAAAAGATCCGTTGACACGTTCGCCCGAGAGGTATGCAAGACGACAAACGACTATATACTGTATTTCGATTGCCAATGCACAAAGCCACACTTTAGAAATGTTCACTAAAGTCGTTAATGCAAGTTATTACACAAAGAGCACCACGATTATACCGTTTCCTTTCACACACTAAAGCGACTAAATGTATTTATAATACATTACACGCCCGTCAGATAAATTTTTTTCCCATAATTGGTACCAATCGTCGTTTTTCCAAACGAATTAATACCATACATCTCGAAACAAGCCCATCCGATTTTCGTTGAGGTTTACTGTGGTAATATCGTGAATGCTTGCTCGTCTCTTATCTTTCCCACGCGACAGCTGCCGATTAAAATACTTCTGAGCATGGCTCGCGACCTGAGTCGGAGTCCTCGTCACCACAAAATTCCGAGAGATGTTCCTCCAATCTCCTTTCCCATACTTTTTCAGTCCCATCAAAAACAACCTGTTTAATCCAAAAAGAAAAAACAAACTCACTCACAAAGTTGACCAAAAAAAAATAAACAAAAAAAAAAAACTCACTTGTGCTCTTCTTCAGTCCACAGGATGCCTTTTTTGCGTTCTTGCGATGATGATGATGATGATGTGGCGGAGTATCCGGGGATTCTGACGAGGCCTGACTCGATGCTGGTGATGTCGAACTCGAGTTTCTTGTAGTGGCTGATGATGTCGAGCACGGTCTTGGTGGGGACCATGGCAGCCACCTTGTGCCACCTGTCAGGCGTTTTCTCGTCGAAAAAGGCGAGAGCGTTTTCGAAGGCCTTGTTCTCGGCTGGGGTCCACCGACTGCCGCTGACATGGCCAGTGTTGTTCAAGTAGCAGATTGGGGATAGGATCTTCATGAACTTCCAACTCCTAACACTATATCTAGTACTATATAACAAAGGTTTTCCCTTTTTTCTTTTCCTTTATATACATTTACACAACATCTAACTTCTAAACCAATATCAGAGGAAAATCAAAGAGCAACTGGGAAAAGAATCAGAATACCTTTTTTTACCTCCACAGCCATCTCTCACTATGGGAATCTGGAAAAGGAGCCTACTTTACCAAAATCAATGAATATGTAATCAGTCAACTTGGAGGTATTGGACAGACATTATCAAAAAATGGCCAGCATTCAATATGATGCCCTAGGACTATAAGACCTTGGTTAAGATTCAAACTTTTTTTTTTTTTTTGGGAAAATTGGATTTTAAAAATGGACAAAGAACAAGACACAATTTTTCATTGATTTGAAGAAATTGCTGAGTTGGTTCAGCTGGATTTTCTTGATATCCCTGATAATTTGGTAACAGAAAAATACCTGAAAGATGAGAAAAATAAAGAGTAAATAAGTAAGGTTGAAGAAGAAGCTGAGATAACAGTGACAACTAAAGTGGGGAAAGCAGTGGGAAACTGAAATCTGAAGAGGGGAAAAGGAGAAAAAGGGTTTTTTATTTCTTTTTACCTTTTCCCCTCCTATATGTTTTTGCAGCAAAGAAAGCAGAAGGAAAGAAAAAAGCAAGAAAAAGATGGTGGCAGCCAAAAAAGAAAGGGACAAAAGCAATTAACCTTGCAGGCTTTCAAGAAATGAATCTCAATACAGTGTGTAAATAAACTAAACATCAGCAACAAAGAAAGGTTTGGGTAGAGCCGAGTCGAGCATTGGCCTCATCGAGTAGGATTGATTTTTTTTTAGCTGCTCGACTTGAGCTCTTCCTTGTCGAGCTCGATTGATGAGGCTCGAGCTCGAGCTCGATAAAAAAGTACAATAGCTCGAGCTTGAGTTCGACTTGAAAATTTTTAAGTGAAAAAGTAAAATTACCATTAAGCACCTATGTTATACTACTATATTATATATAAGGGGTATTTTAGTAATTTAACATATATCTCGAGCCGTTCGACAATATAAAATATGAGCTCGAGTCAAACTTTAATTCAAGCGCTTGCGAGCCGTTCGATTCGTTTGCAGCCGTAAGCCTTAGGGTGGAGTTAGATGATTATGGAAGTTGGTGAAGTGTGACTATGTGTAATGGTATTTGTGGATACTGTAAAAGTTACTTATAAAAGCACAAATTGACTCGTTTAATAAACCAACAAAAAGGCTCTATTCGAATTCTGTCTCATCTAAGTTTTTGAAAGTTCAGTTCGTTTAATACACATAAATACTTAAATACCTAAATGAGTTGTTCGCGAACACAAAACGTTCATATGCAAACAAGTTAATTTCGATTGTTTTATTTAAATTAAAAAAAAAATGAAATAGTTTGCAGATAAGATCGCTCATTTCATTTAATAAACGGGCTCAATTAGATGTTCAAGCTCGACTAGTGAGCAGACATAGAAAATGTCATTCCAGCCAAGATTTATTGGCTGAAAATGGGTTTCAGTTTAGTAATAAAACACATAAAAAAAAGGTTCAATGAGAATTTTTCCATACAAAAAGCTACTGATAAAAATGTTCAAAATCACATTTCTTTTATCATAAGAGAAAGAAGAAACAACTAAGAACAAAATCCCTCATTTAGTATTTGCCAGAATTATTAGCTTCATCGTTTACTTTGTCACCCGTACTCCACACGATATCTTTCAGCCCGGTCGAGAGGTTCTTGTAGAACTGTACATGAAATAGAAGAAAGGCATAAATAAACCCAAGTATAAAAAGTAAAAACATTGTACATTTCAAGAAAAAAAAAATTACGAAATTAATATCCGTGAAAATGGTGCAGAAAATCTTCTCCAAATGTATAAAATCTGATTAGATTGTCCATTCATAAAATGTTTCTTCACATATATAAAAGCTCAATGCTGTTTATTACCTTGTGAAATTCTAATGTGTCCCCACCGGCCTTCCGAAGCTCGACCATGTGAAGTGAAGGAGCCACTTCAAAAATCTGCAAGTGCATATAAGGAAAAATATATATGTAAATTTGTAGCTATATTATATATCGTGTTATCAAAGGCAAGCGATAACTCGTATCCGAGTACAAAGTTACTAAATCATCATGTCGAAAAACCTTAAATAACACATTTACCTCTGTTGCGATTGACAGATGACCTTTACGCCCGGATTTCTCCCCATGGAGTTTCAGCTGAGAAGAAATGGATGTGCCACAGTCAAAAGAATATNACCCATAGGCCCAGCAGCTTGCTCGATTTTGGAGATGATCTCATTAGCCGTACTTTTTGAAGTGAATCTGGTTTCACGCTTCACGAGACCCTAAGGTCAGAGAAAAAAATGTCATTTCTCAACATTGCAATAACCCCATTTAATACACGACCTCTTCTAAGTTAGTATATACCATTTGCTTTTCGAAAAGGGTACTGAGATTTAAACCCTGTGAAGTAGAAATAAGCTCGAAAGCATTCATGGCCACTGGTGCAGTGGCTGTCCTTTCCTCACGCCTTTCAACAACAAGGTTTGGAGAGTCCTACATGAGTCAAATTAAAAGGGAGAAAAAAAAAAAGAAGGAACAAATCAATCAATCAATAATAATAACTCATTCGAAATTGATTTTTATAGGCTGAAAGGGAAATCAGAATACTAACTGCTGATTCATTGAAAATCGAATTAACATCATCGAGAGTTACTTCCTCGTGTTCAAAAACAGGCGGCTTGTATCCTTTCTTGAACCAGTCATTCTCGAGGACCTCAGCAATCGTGATACGCTGTTTCATGTGGCACGATCGAAAATTCTGGTTAGTATGAAATAGATTGCAAAGGAATATTTTCCTAATCACGTTTTGCAGATTTCCAACTAATAAATTAGATTATGTTTCTTTAGCTTAGTGGAAACTAAATTCATTTTCACCTTTTTCACTTTTTTCAAGGAAATGAGACTTATTCTGAATACATTTTCGATTTCCACTTTTTCAAGGAAATAAGACATAGTAATACACACACACACAGCTTACCAAAAAATAAATTCACTACACTCACCCGAATCTAAAATGAAAGCGCGCAACTTTCAACTTTATGTGAAAAGTAGAATTCACATCTTACTAACATATTTTCATCCCGAAATATGATAACTTAACAAGCTTATTTTTGTTTTAATCATTCAATGTGAAAAAACAATAACTTCTTTTGATGAGTGTGCATACTGTTGATGGATTCGGGTCGAGGATTCTTTTGATTAGTTTCTTGGCACTGGACGAAAACCACGGAGGGCATGTAAAGTCTGCCTTAAATATCTGCAAATCAAAGCAAATCAATGTTAATTACGTTAGCACCGTAAAACGAATTCAATGCCTAATATAATAAACAACAATGCAAAATTACCTTTTTGTAGAGTGCCATAAGATTAGGCTCTTCAAATGGCAGATAACCAGCCATAAGTACAAAAAGAATTACGCCACATGACCAAAGATCCGCTTTGGCCCCATCATAGCCCTTATTGTTGATCACCTAACATAAATTTTGAGATTTTTGGTCATTCAGAATACGGTAAAGTAAAATATATTGAAACGCGCAAAAGACCCAAAAGCATACCTCAGGGGCCACATAATTTGGCGTTCCACATGTAGTGTGAAGTAATCCATCTTCCTAATAACAAGATTAAGAGAGGATTATTTTAATTAAAAGAACTACTTGCATCGCACTGAAAATAGAATCTACCAAAAGGAGAAAAAAAATATTACCCGAACTTGCTGAGGTAAGGCACTCAATCCAAAGTCAGAGACTTTGAGAAGTCCATTAGCATCAAGCAGCAAATTCTCCGGCTGCAATCAAGAAAATAACAAAAATTATAAGTATCCTTACATATGTCCTCAAGATTAATAAAAATTTTGAGGAAATTAAAAGAAACATTTTTTTTTTAAGGTGGGCCCACCTTGAGATCCCTATGGTAAACACCCCTGCTGTGGCAAAAATCAACAGCGTTTATGAGCTGCTGAAAATATTTCCTAGCTTCGTCTTCTTTCAGCTTCCCTTTAGACGCCTAGCAACAATAACAAGAAATGATTGTAGGGATATTATAATATTGCTAATAATCAGATTATCTTCATCTGTTTATGAAAAAAGGTGGGAGGCTTGAACGAGCATTACTATTTTGTCAAAGAGTTCACCACCAGTGACAAATTCCATGACGATATATATCTTTGTCTTGCTTGCCATAACCTACAAGATGAAGACTCAAATCATTAGCCGGCTTTTCAGGTAAAGTTATTTCACTGCATATCGACATCACAGATCCATGCAGAAAATTTTTGTTTACAAAGAGTTCAGCACTGACCTCGAACATGCGAATAACATTGGGATGCCTTATAAGCTTCATGGTTGAAATTTCTCGCTTGATCTGCAAATGAAGACAAAAGGAGTGGGAATGTGTTAGTAGAAAAAACACATGCTCGTGCACACACACACAGAGCTAGAAAGTGACAAAATAAGTATAGAGAAATGGTATGGAATATCACTCATCAACACTAAATAAGGAAAGGAAATAATGAAAATAGTTACTCGAACATGTACCATATGGCCGGAGATATGAATAATACACGCTGAAAACGTAAAAGTTCAAACTTCAACCAAACACCATTTTTCAGCTTTTAATAGAATTGGACTGTTTAAAACCTTAACAACCTTCATGACAGGCAATTAGGAGCTAAACACAAACTCCATATTAATCAGTGAACACTAACTCCTTATACCCCACAGTTAGGTGTAAAAGCAAATATATTTCTCTTATCTGTATCCTTGATGGCAAACAGACCCGTTTATGAGGTTGTAATTAAGATTATTCATAAATGTCAAAACTTACGGAGCATCATCATGAACTAAAGATTCAAAACCCCAGAAAAAGATCCAAAGACAAAAGATAGGAAGTACAATTTTACGGAAAAGTACAAAGTGTTACAAATTTAAAGCCAAGCCAGAAATTCGGAGAATTCGACCCCACTGGTGTGAGCACTAGGGTGAAATCCACCCAGAAATCCTCAGTGCATAGTTTATACAGAAACAGATTAGATGGGACAGAAAGCATGTAAAGTACTAATCTATCACAATCATCATGAAGCAATAAATAGACAGGTAAAAGGAAAAAATCAGATAAAAGAAACATCTAGAAAAAAACACACACACCTGGCCAATCATCTTGTGTTTGAGAACCTTGTCTTTATCAAGAATCTTGATGGCAACATTCTCACCTGTCTCCAGATTCCTAGCGAACTTCACCTTGGCAAAAGTCCCTTCTCCTAAAGTCCTCCCCAATTCATACCTACCCACGCGCGTCTTCCCGTTGCTACCAGCCCCACGCGCGCTCCCACCACCGGAGCTTGATCTTGACGCCATTACCATTTGAGACACCCTGTCTTAAACCGATCTGCGTCTAAGAAACTAAAAAAAGATCCAATTTTTTTTCTTCTGGGCTAGCCCTTAAATTTTGCTTACCCTACCCGATATACAAATCCCATCCATTGTTCCTCAAATTATTTCTTCCTTGATCTCTTTCCTTCTTCAATGAAAAATATCCTTTTTTTTCCTCGAACCCTAAGATGCTATAACCGCTTCTTCTTGCACGGCTGCCACACTTGGGACTTGGACACACTCATCTTCCCTCTTGAAACGCTTGTTCTCTAAGAAAAAGGACAAAAAGATAAAAAATTGCCCAAACAGGAACAAGTATGGAGATTATATGACAATTGAAACGGGGGGCAATAATGCAAATGCCATCATTATCCGTTGAAATAAGATGGAAAGATTAGGATAAATATTCTAGATCGATTTGAGCGTATTGATGAGACGAATAAAAATCCTGTATTTTTCTTCGAAATGGTAGTTTTCACTTTTCACATTATTAATTTTGGTATCGGCTTGATGCGTGTCGGGAATTCGGGATAATTTAGGGGTTTGGTGAGATTGAAATGACGGTGATTAGAAAGGAAACGCTCGAGATTCGGCTAAGCAATCAATGGAGAGATTGGAATAAATTTCTTCGATGAAATACTAGGAAGGTGGAGATTGATCAACCGAGGAAGGTGATTTCCTTATAGGAAGGCGTAAAGTGTGGTAGGGCGCATGGATTTAATTGTGTTCCCTCGCAAAGTCAACAGGAAGTCGGTTATGAATATTTAGGCCCGTTACTTATAATGCAGTCTTATTATTTTTCATTCAATACCTAAAACAAAGAATAATTTAACCACAGAAGAAAATTTATATATAAAAAAAAAAAAGAAATAAGCACTTCGTCCTTTATCGTTTCAATAAATAAATAAAAATTAAAACTTTAATTTGTCGTTACCTTAATTACATAACTTGGATGAATTATTTGTAAAGACTAGTACGTAGCGATGCACGGGACATAAATACTAAATGAGTAATTTTCACAGAGCTTGTCCGTTAAGTAGTACGTGCGAATTCACGGGAGATATTATATGAGTGGACCATAGGACTTATCCATTCAGCCTAAAAAATAATAGAATTTGATCATCTATCTTTTTACATCTTTTCATCAACGTCATTTTTTTTTTGTCGGAACATTAAACCTGAGTCTGGTAGCGCTAGCCCGTAAATTAATTAATATATTATTTTTCTCACATGTTTATAATAATATAAATTTGAGTTCCTTATATATATTTATTCCTTTATATAAGAAAAATAACAATTTTACGTAATCTTGTTCCTCATATAATACTCATATTATTTTATTATAAAAATTATTTTAATATAATGTCATTATTATTAATTATACAACTTATAGATATAGTCTTCTTCTTCTTTTTGTTTTATGTAATTAAAATATTTAATGTATGTTCATATTATTTATTAATGTAATTAATTTAAATTATGTAAATAAATTTAAAGTAAAACATTTTGTACAAACATTTTACAAAATATACACAAATATTTTTTTAGAATTTAATTTTTTTATAATAAATAAACATCTTTGAAATTCTATGCAATTATTAAATATTCTTGATATAAATTCGAAATCATAATTGAATTGTATGCAATTATTAATACCGTCTGATATTATGAGAAACAAATCATTCGAAAATGTAACAAAATGATAAAGAATTTTAAAATTTAAATTTTAAATGAGACATGTTTTTACTTGAATTCTATGCAATTATTATTTTGTCCGATTTATTTTTTAAAAAATGATTTTACCATTAATAATTATTAAATTAATCTCATTATTCCTGTAAATTTAAAACTTAGATAAAAAATCTTTTCAAAATCAAGAAATAAATATCAATTAACAAAATGATCAAATTCCAACGGAAAGTTCCAATACAAATATATTTGAATTGAATTCCAACGGAAATTCCAACAAAAATATTCCGTTGGAATGAGTTTTTCATTGGAATTTCGGTTGGATTTTGAAGATTCTAACGGTAGATTTTCCAACGGAGGTGGAAATAAAAATTCCAACGGAAATTCCTACGGTAAAAAATCGTTGGAAAAATAGCTGTTAGAATCATCAAATTCCATCTAAAATTCCAATGGAAAATTCATTCCAACGGAATATTTTCGTTGGAATTTCCATTAAAATGATTCCAACGGAAGCTATACCATTGGAATATCCATTGGAATTTTTGTTGGAATATATTATTGTAGGATTTTCCGTTGAAATATGACATTTTTTTTGTAGTGATGCTTGAATGCATTCGTAAAATTAATATTTAGATTAAACATCAAGTACAGGGGCGGAGCCTTATATGGGCCAGTGTGGGCCTAGGCCCACAGTGGAAAGAAAAATATTATCTTATATAGTTTGCTTTAAATATAGTTTCATACTTCATTAATAAAATTAAAAAGAAAAAAAAACAATGAGAACACAAAGAAGAGAGAAAAAAAATAATGAGGAAAAGAAATCACCGTTCTTGTTTATTTTGGCGAAAGTAAATCTAATCATTTTTTTTAGATTTGGTATAAAAATTTAAACTTATAGTTAATTGAATGTTGTTTCTTAAAAGACAATTTACATATTTAAATTTGTGTGTGACTAATAACTTGTAGGGCTTTTACAAGTTTGATGTATTAGATAAGGCATTTTATACATTATAATTTTTTTTTCGCTCTTGCAAGTTTGATATATTAGATAAAACATTTTATACATTATAATTTATTTTACATCAAATTATGGAGTATATGTTTATAAATAGTCTTGACAAAAGAGTGCGTGTGAAAATATTTCAAAATTAGCAATGTTTAGTCCAAATATACTTGAGGTGAATTATAATATTGTTAGGCCGAAAGAAAATGTAAAGATCTTATTATAAAGTCATACCAAACTATAGAAACTCATAAGAATTTCTATGAATGCATATTTTTGTATTTATACTTTGTTATGATGTATTATATTTTTTTTTTTTCAATAAACAAGTAGGCCCCCACTCATTTTATAAGCTAGATCCGCCTCTGATCAAGTATAGTACGTCATGGACATGAAATATCTTTCTTTTTCGTTACATGGAAAAATATAACATGCAACGTAAAAATATTCTCTGTACTTTACAATGTAGCCCTTTGGTCTTATTTCTCCATTGTTTGAGCATTTTTCAACCAAACCATGCTTGAACATTCAAATGTTCGGCACGACTCCAGTGCAGCTTTAGTTGTTAAACTTGAACAACAAACCAAAATTAGTTTATTAAGAAATGGAACCGTTTGACCTTTTATGTTTTTAAGCATTTGATTTAGAGATGGATGCATACCATTGTTCAACAAAGACAAAATAATAATGGTATTTAGCACTAACCCATAGCAAATAAAATTTTAAACAAGAATCATCAGATATTTCCAACGCATTTAAGGAAAATTTCCAATTTCAATCTAGTTCAACGAAAATCGAATAGAGTAATGAAAAAAGAACAATGTGGGGAGAAAAGTTGCATCGATATATATCATAGCAGAGCGAGAACAATAGGAAGATGATGAGTATAAACACCACTTTACTTTCAACTGCAAAACTCACGTTTTCTTCATATCCTAATAAATGTCCCAAATGATATCATAGATTGGAAAGAACAAAAAAAAAGGGGCGCCATACGAATCTGAAAAGTGAGCACATTCAACTCGAAGGCTGCTTTCATGATTCTGCAGTGGCAGCATCCGGATTTTCATCCGTGTTTGTCATTTCTAACCGCTGGCGTTTAAAAGCTGAAAGAAAGATGAAAAGCAGAAATCAGATTTCTTAGGCCGTGTTTGGTAAACGTATAAGCAAACTTATAGCTTATTTGATTAACTTATAAGCTTTCTGTATTCAAATAAGTTTGGTTTGGTAGGACGAGTCGAGCTTTTCTTGGGTAGCTTTTCAAATAAAGCCATTGAAATTACTATTTCAGCTAGTTAATCAACTAATTTTACCACACTTTTATCATATAAGCTAGCTTTTCAGCCATATAAGTCATAAGCTATCAGCTATAAGCTCAAAATTCACTTAAAACCTATAAGCTAGCTTATTAGGTAGGTTTACCAAACATAGTCTTAAACATAAACCAATTGAGGAACTAAACTGAAACGCAAGGGGACACATTAAGTTAAAGTTTGGCTTAAGGCCTCCCACAAATTGGGCTCACTAACTAAGCACGAAATCGAAGATTCACTATATCTCTTGCTCACGAAATTATTATTAACAAATCACAAACATCATTACTTTTCAGAAAATCCAAAAGATACAACAATTACATCGTTGCAATCTCAAAGAAAACGTAAAATCCAATCAAATAATCTCCCAAAATTGAGTCAGCAATATGGAAAAATCCCCACACCCTTCAAAAAATCGAGGAAAAATAAGGAAGAATATACACACCTACATTTGACAGACGACCCAGCAAGGCAAGTCAGCCTAGATTTGGTATTGGCCTCAGTTAATGGCTTTGGTTTCTCCTTAGAAGCCATCCTCATATCCCAAATGCGAATTACCCCATCAGAAGATGCAGATGCCACCATGAAAGGATCTTCGTTTTCTTCACTGTTTTTCGACAACACCACAATGCCTTTGATGCGGGCCCCATGAGCATCCTCGATACCGTAAGCCACTTTCCCACTTGTCGTGTCCCATGCTGTAATGTTTCTGTCTTCTCCACCTGTGAACAGAATCCCATTCTGCAGTAGAGAGAACGTATAACAAATAATCAGCACTGCTGAATTAAGGAGTGTTCTCTGCAATGCTGATATAAAGTTGTGATTTTTTTGCATTCAATCAATATCTTCACCAAATCTCCATGGAAGGGGCTTTGTTCCGAAACCACTCGAAATTTCACTTAAATACATTTCAAAGCATAAGTATGCATTTTTGTTAAACAAGTGTGACAATGACCAAATATATTCGGCTCTGCATTTGCTGCAACATTGTTGCGAATTGATCAAATAATTGATTTCCTAACAAAAGCACACCCAAAAGCAAAGAAAAGAAACAATTTTAATTTAATATTAAATCANGAGGTAGAGAACTTAGTACCCTGCCATGAGCAGCACAGAGTACTCTCTTCTTATTGTCCAGCTCGAAAATTAACCGGGCGTCCTCAGCTTCATGAACACCAACTTTTTCATCCAACACCATGAAAAACTTTGCGCCCGTCTCATCAAATTGAACAATCGAAGCCTCCTTGCTCAGCTTGCAGTAAAAACTGCGCCTTCCCCTCACCAAATTCACCATCGCCAGGCACTCGTCGTGGCCGACGCTCAGCGCCAGCTTCCCCGACGGGTGGACGGACAAAGAATTTACTGACTTCTTGTGAATCTTTACGGTCTTGAGGTGCACGAAGGGGTCCGCATCGTAGATGGAGAGCGAGCCCTCGGCGTCTCCGGCGAGCAAGTTGCGGGGGAAGGAGGAGAGGGAGGGCGGCGAGTAGAAGGAGAGGGAGGTGACGGAGGAGGAGTGCTGGAGGGACCCGATCTCGGTGGAGGAAGATAGATCGTAGATTTTAATGGTGTCGTCGTTTCCGCCGGAGACGGCGGCGGACCCCGAGACGGCGACGGCTTTGATGGTGGAGAGGTGGGAGGGGAAGGAGAAGAGAGGGGTCAGGGAGAGGTATGAGGGGACTTTTCGGGATTTCAGCTTGTAGCCCCAAATGAAGCGCTCGTACGAGCCGGCAACCAAGCTCATCTTGGGAGTGTCTGCAAATTTCTTGGAACGATGGGGAAGAAAGGTTTAGGGGAGGCTTGATTTTGGGGGAAAGGGTTTTAGGTTTAAGGGGCAATTTTGGTGAAAATGTGGAAGAGTAGTAGGTTAAAATTCATTAGGGTAAATTGTAATTTTGGTACCCAAACTAAAGGTCATTTTGGAATCAGTACCCGTTTTGAAACTTGCACGGTACCTAAACTTTTATTCCGTTTGCAGAGTTACTACCCAACCGTCAAATGTCCGTTAATCGTTAACGAGACTGTCTAACATCGCAGTTAGAGTTAGATTTACATCATTTTCTTCCCCAATTTCGCATCTCTCAGAAAATAAACCCTAACTTTCCATTTCATTCATGAAAAATGATGATCGATCCAACATGTTTGAAGCCCGATTTTTAAATTTCCAACTCAATTCCTCTAATTGTTGTTCGATTTCTTCAATTTCCAGCACGTTTCCTCAAATTGCAGGCCGACTCATGAAATCCTAACTCTGATTCCTCAAATTTCCAGCTCGTTTACTTCAATTGCCGCTCGTGTTCTTCAAGTCCCACTCGATTCTTCAAGTCCCACGCGATTATTCAACTTCCAAATCGATTCTATAGCGAAAAGAGATCGAGCAGATACGAAAGGAACTCCAATCTATGTTATGTTCTATGTTTTAGTTCAGACGGCTCGATTTTTCTTTAAATTGATTGAAATAGGGTTTAATTTTTTTTTTAAACCTAGATGAGGATACAATGTTCACTTTGAAAATTTTCCATGGAGGAGAGATGATTGAAAGTTTGTCAAGGTATTACGAGGGGGTTTTGTAGATTATTTTGATGGTGTTGATGGGGACAAGTTGGGTCTTATTGAAATGAATGATTTTGCCAAACAATTAGGTTATGAGGAGAAAAATATTAGGTTTTGGCATCAATATGGTCATTCATTGTATAACGGAGCAAAAGTCATGGTTAATGATTCTGATGTGCTTGATATTTTGATGTTTATTAGTGCTGATAAAGAGGCTCTCATTTACATTGAACATTTAAACCATCTACAACCTATTGAGCCATCTAGTTTGCCTTCTAATTTGCATGAAGATGAAGAACCTGTACTTGATTCTTCCTTTCTTGATGACACTCACATAGCAACACCAGAAACAGAGGCCCACGATCCTAATGTAGAAGATAATAGTGATTGTCATAGTGCCAGTGATGATAGTGATGTTTTGATTGATTCTAATTATGATATGATGGAGGATGATAAGTTGTATGAGAAATATGTTGATCATGATGTTGAGTTTGTTGGTTTAGGTAAGAGTTCTGACCCTCTGAATAACATTTTAGGAGATGAAGTTAGTAGTAGATTAGAAGGGGACACATTAGAACCAGTTAATAGTAGTGATGAGCTTGAGAGTCTAGTTGGTTCTGATGAAGATGATTTGTGCATGCCAATACCCTAAGTACAACCCTTTTACTGAGAGTAGAAAAAGTCAGTCCTTAAATTAGGATTGATTTTTAGTAGCAAAGCAGAGGCAAAGTCTGCCATTGAGACTTACTGCTTGAGGGGTGGGAAGTCTATTTTCTTTGATAGGAATGATAGCAAAAGGCTTAGGACAAGGTGCAAGACTGATGGTTGTGAATGGAAAGCATATGTTGCTCCAATGCAACATGGCAGTACTTGGCAAGTTAAGGTGTTCAATGATGAACATAGTAACTGTGCTTGGAGCTATAATAATTCTTCAATAAAGTCATCTTGGGTGGAAAAACATTTTATGAAAGAAGTAACAAAAAAAAATCCTAAGATACAAATTACAGGCTTTAAGGAACGTGTGTGTTCTAAATTGAAGGCAAACATCTCCAAACATCAAGCTTATAGGACCAGAATTGCTGCCAGACAGCTTCTTGAGGGTGATGTGAAAGAACAGTATTGTAAGTTGGGGGATTACTGTGCAGAGTTACTGAGGTCTAATCCTGGGTCAACTGTGGTCCTTAAATTAATTGAAAATGAGGGTGTGGTCAATCACTTTCAGAGGTTTTATGTGTGTTTTAAAGCTTGTAAGAAGGGTATTAACGCTTGTAGAAAGGTGGTTAGGGTTGATGGGTGTTTTTTGAAGGGGTGCTATGGGGTCAGTTGTTGACTGCTTGTGGGATTGATCTCAACAACAACATGTTCCCCATAGCTTGGGCAGTTGTAGAAGCTGAGACCAAAGTTTCTTGGCATTGGTTTTCATCTCTATTGGGGGATGATATTGGCATAAGTTGTGCTGAGTTGTGGACCTTCATGAGTGATAAATAGAAAGGACTAATACCAGCTTTTGAGAGTTTGTTCCCAGAGGCAGAAAATAGATTTTGTGTTCAACACTTTCACAACAACATGAAGAAGGATGGGTTTTTAGGTTTGGCAATAAAGAAGGAACTGTGGGCTGCTGCTAGATGTACTAGGGTGGAAGAGTTCAAAGCCAGAATGGAGAAGTTAAAGGCTGTTGATCCTAAGGCATATGAGTAGCTAGTGAAGAAGCCTCCAAATCAGTGGTCAAGAGCTCACTTTAGTTTAACACCTAAATGTGATATCTTGACCAATAACATGTGTGAGAGCTTCAATTCACTTATTCTGTCTGCTAGAGAAAAAAACATCATAGGGCTGCTTGATACAGTGAGAAACATCATGATGGCAAGGATGCATACCAACAGAGAACAAGCCAAGAAATGGGATGGTGCTATCTGTCCTAGGATAAAAATGATTTTAGATGGGAACATGAAGAAGGCAGGAGAACTCATCCCTATGAGGTCTGATGAGTGGAATTTTCAAATAATGGGGCCATTTGAACAGCATATTGTTGATGTTCTTGGAAGATCTTGTTCTTGTAGGAAGTGAGAATTGACTGGACTTCTATGTAAGCATGCTATTTCTGCCATTTGGTGTAGAAAAGAAGAACCGGGGTGGTAGGTTCACCAGTTGTACTCTGTTGAAACATATAGAAAGGCATATGAACTGCCAATATTAGGGATAAATGGTCCTGATTTGTGGCCTAAGGTTGATCTTCCACAACCTATCCCTCCTGCAATTGTGAAGAGAGCTGGAAGGCCTAAAAAGGTAAGAAGGAGATATCCAACTGAGCCACCAAGTGCATTGCCTCATAATCCCATGAGATTGAAAAAGCATCAGAGGAGTGTGACCTGTAGAATTTGTGGACAACTTGGTCACAATGCTAGAAAGCATAAGAAGGCTGACCAAAATGAAGAACAAGATGAGGTCCTACTGAGTGAATCTCAGCCTTCACCAGCTAGTGACCATGTTTTCTCAAGCCGGTCCCTTGCATCAACACCTCCAAACAACAACAATGCTGCTGAAGCTAGCAAAAATAGGTTAATTTATCATTTTTTTTGTTTGATTGTACATCATTTACTATGTCTAATACTCTGTGTTTTGATTTAAACTTGTTATATATTTACATACTTACTATGTCTATGTTTTATAGTCTCAGGAAAAGAGCAGAACAACTAGGAAGAGAAAAAGAGCTGAGTTGGATGGAAATAGGAATGAGAATCAAGGACAGAATGTCAATGTAAGTTATTGTGTTGTTATCATTATATTTGGTTATAGAACTCTGAAATTTAGTTCAGTTGGATTTGAATTTGTGTTCTTTGTGTAAATGATTCCTTAACAGTGTCATTATATTGTGTTATTATCATTATATTTGTTCCAATTTGTTTATACAAATGCAGGTTACACAATCTGAGGGAGTCACTTGTCCAGTTGTGGTGAAAGGGGGTGTGAATTACGTAACAGTGTCCAACATCAAAGCTGCCTTGAGGACAAAGAATAGGAAAACTCCTGGTAAGGACAAGGCTACAAACAAATGACTGTGGATTTGTGTTGGTTTGATTGTGTTGTTTGACTTTGGATTTATTTTGGTTTGATTGTGTTGTAATAGGATAATGAGTTCTTTGGTGATTTTGGGATTATGGTTTGACTGTGGATGTCTGTTTATGATGAACAAGGCTTGTGTATTGTGTTCTTTTGGTGATTGTGGTTTGAACAGGTTGTATATTGTGTTATTTTGGTGATTGTGGTTTGAACAATGTTTATGATTTTGTTTTGGTGATTTTGGTGAACAAGACTGTGGATTGTTATTCATTTGCATTTGGGATACTAGATCAATTAAATGGAAAATGATGATTTCAATGACTTGGTAAATGATGATTACATATGTTGCATATACTAATTTTTGCTATTTAGTGCATAGAACACAACTACTACGACTAGAACAAAGACTCCTAGTTTTGCAATGAAATTTTTCTTTTCATTTTTCAATGCATCTAGTTGTTTTTCCTTAGTCATTCTCTTGCTATTGGCTTTCCTCAATTCAACTTCCAGTTTCCTTTCTCTTACCATGAAATCATTGAGCTCATCCTCAAGGTTGTTCAATTTTGAAACCAGTCCGGGTATTATTTGTTTGGAACGAGCACACATTTCCGGATCTAGCCACTTGTAAAACCCACAGAATTCTCTTGTTTGCAAGAGAAAAAAACACAATCATATTTTTTGTTATAAATATAATAATTAAAAAATCAAAATAATACCCCATAATTTGGGCATGCCCAATATCTTCTTCCGGGATTTTTTTTGTCCAAGATGTCTTCAATGGAAGCTCTTCTTCACTACACCGATATTTTTGGACTGGAAAATTATTAGTCCAAGAACTACTGCTTGAACTAGAAGAAACTATGTCTTCTCATTTTTTTCGATTTATTTTTTTATTTTTTTAATTTTTTGGATTTTTTTTTATTTTTTGGTAAAATATGTACACATATGGCATATATATATAGGATACAACAGGCGCCAAAAACAATCCCATTTCCCTCCATTTTAACCACCCCCGTTACCAACTAACGGGCTTTTGACGGTCGGGTAGTAACGCTGCAAACGGAATAAAAGTTTGGGTACTGACGCCGTGCAAGTTTCAAAACGGGTACTGATTCCGAAATGACCTTTAGTTTGGGTACCAAAATTACAATTTACCCAATTCATTAAATGGTTAAAATGAAAAAAGGGATATTTTTTTGCTTAAACTTGGAAAAAAATCCTTACAACTTGCTTTAATTGAGTTTTTAGTGGTTTATTTTTATTATCATGAACACAACTTTAATTAGAGGTAGAGTTGTTAAATGAAATAAGTTGCTCGAGAATTTAGCTTGACTTGTTAACACTTAAAATCGAAATAAGATTTTTTATGTTATTTTTTATTGTTCGGCTCATAAATGCTCAAGTTCAACTAGTTAAAACTTGAACTTGGCATATAAGAGTTGTTAAACGAGACAAGTCGCTAGTGAGCTTGACTCGGCTCGACTAGTTAAGGCTCGTTCGGCTCGATTCATTTGATAAACGAGCAGAGTTAAAGCTCGCTTAAAGCTCATTTCTTAACGAGCCATGCTCGGCTCAGTTCGATAAGTCTTGAAAAAAAATATATATATAATTATCTATAATTCGACTCATTAAAGCTCGAGATTGGCTCGAACTTCAGCTTATTAATATTGATAAACTCGGTTCGACTCGTTTATAGCTATGTCATTAATAAATATAAATGAACTTAGTACGTCTAGGTTGGATAAAGATTAAAAGTTTAAAACCCAAGCACGAGTATTATTCAAACTCGACTCATCAAGTTATATGCAACTCGACTCATCAAGTTATATGCATGACAATAAAACTTGTTGAAAAATTATTAGTTTTTTTGAACAAAAAAGAAAAAGAAAAAGAAAAAGAAAAAAAACTACAATATTTAACACTTTTTTTATATAAAAAATAAGAAGAAGAAGAGGTGGATGGAGGAATTGAAAGCCGAAATTTACACCCTCTAGGCCTCGACTACACATGGCCAAGGGTCCTCCCGGACCGCCGGCTCGGAATCTACCTGTATCTACGGATCATTGAACTGAACCCGTGCTACAAACGGGCCAATTCTTGGTCTTTTTTTTTCTTTTTTATTTTTAACCAGCCGATTTCGGGTTGAAAAACGGGTCTGAGTTTTCGACCTTATTTATTTATTTTTTTTAATAAAAAATACCGAGTCGGGTCAAAACCGAGTTCCCTGTCGCTCAACTCATCTGGCCGACCCACAGGACCAGCTGAGGTGACCCAAACCCGACGGGTCTCCTTCAGGACAAAAAATATCAAAAAAATTAAAAAAAAATAGGCCCAAAATCGTCGAATCGGGCCCGGAACCATGCTTGCGGCGGTTTGGGCCGGTTCAGGATCTTATCGCATTCGACCCGGAACCAAATTTTGGCCACGTCTACCCTCTACATATCCATCCCGTGAATATTCTGACATACATAACCAAAATCATTTACATTCATCCATCAACAAGAAAATATATTACTCATTCATTGTTTTTTATTTACATTTCTCAATATCACTTTTAAATTAAACATCAATTATTACTACACTTTATTCATAAGAGCACCCGCATTGCCAGTGTTAATTGGGGTGTTTAAACAGTGGCGAAACCACATTGAGAGCCGGAGTGGCGCCGGCCCTCCCAAAAAAAAAAAAAATTTGGGGGTTTTGGTGAGAGGTTGAGGCAATCGAAGGGGCTGGAAATGGAAGGGCGCCCTTTGAGCGCCCTTCCGATGCCGCCGGAGGCCCGGAAGAAGATGAATCTGGGCCCTCCCCGTGCTGGGATCCTGGTTTTGCCACTGTGTTTAAACGCCAGCTGTCATTCAATCGGGTTGTGGGCGTTCATTTTAGCTGCGGGGCCCCCACTTGCGTTCAGTCCATTGAACGGCGTCCCTTTATTTTATTTTATTTTTTTTTAATTTAATTGTTTAATCATATTATTTTCTTTTTTTATATTATTTTATTTTTTATCTACATCACACTTCCAAAAATATTGATAAATACAACTTTATCTATATCACATTTTTCAATATGTATCAATAATTTACATTTCATATCCCTCATTCTTTTTCAATAAATATTAAATACATCTCATTTTACACTTCTTCTGCACCAAAAAATTTAGCAACTACTAACTTGTGTTAAAAAAATATTTTTGCAATTGTACTATTTTTTCCTTGTATAATCTTAATTTAAGTTATTTTGGTCTTGTAATTTTTTTTCATTTTCATGCATTTAAAATTTATTATTATAAATTAATATTAAAATTTATTTTTATTGAGAATATAATATAAAAAATTATATTGAATGAGTGGATAATAGATTTCACGTATGTATTTAAATGAATGTGTAGGAATGTGGGTGTGTGTTTAAATGGAAAGAGATTTGGTAGAAAGATGATGTGTAGATGATGTGGATGAGAGAGAGTCTTACTTTTTGATTGAATGAATGATTTTTGTGTTAAAGGGTTGTGGATGCCCTAATACCGGAGATGCATCATATGTATCTTCCATACCAGATGCAAATCTCCTTCAACATAAATGAACTTCTAGTTTATTGCTACACCAAATTTGCATTCAATCACCATGGATCATTTTTCTTTAAACAACATTTGGAAATCAATAGTATCACACACTGTAAAATAGATAAATCATAATGAATTAGAAAAAAACAACAGAACATAACAGTATAACACTCTTATGAACATTCTCATTCGCTGTGAATTGAAGAAGCAGTTTTCCTTTCCTAATGCACCATGAACCTGATCATCAATACTACGAAAAAGTACACAAACCAACAGTATATGAATGAAATTTAGTAAACAAATTACACTACAGAACTCACTCAGAAGAGGGCCAAGCCAACACATTCTCCAGGTCAAGAACAGCATTTTCCTTAAGCAAAAAAGCGCCTTTTTAAGCTCTGAACCGCCTAAACTCAAACCATACCTCATAATGGTTGAAAAGCAAACTGTCGTGCGTGTGCTTCCCCCGATACTCGAGCCCCAACCCATTCAGCCTCCTCGTGCACTCCTCACCTCCCAAACGAGAACAGAACTTTATGTTATGTGAAATGAAAATCCGACCCTCCACAGGTCTCAGCCTTCCTGCCAATCTCTCCATACCCGTCCACACGAGCTTGTCGGGCATGTGAAGAAAAACAGCACTCGCGTAAATCAAATCGTACGTCACACCCGTAAATCCAAACCTACCGAAATCCATATCTTCACCCTTCACGATCAACGGGCGCTTTTGCAGCAAACCCTGAGACGGGAGCTCATACCTTAAGGCAGCCATTAGAGAAAGTTCATCCCTTTCCAAACAGTGGTACCGTTCGGAATTCAAGAATCGGATGAAATGAAGGCCCACTCGAAGGGTCCCACAACCGATCTCGAGAACTCTTGACTCAGGGGTCAGATTAGCTGAACCGGCTAAAAACTCAAATACGTCACGGCCCCCAGCCCATGGCTCTCCGTAATTGCTGTGGTGTTCCTCGACGAGTAGTTCGCCAGGGCAAGGGAGGGCAGTGTGGTTATTCGCTTCAGGGCCTTCGTAGTGAGATATGCCCTTGAACTGGAGAAGGTCTTGCAGTTGCTGCTGGCGGGTGCGCGGGTTTATGCCCTTTCGAAGGATGTTTTCATGCATGTGAAGCCCGTTGGCCTCGATTTGGGCCTTGACCCAGTTTATGTCATCAGGTGAGGGCGAGATACTGGCTGTGTTGGGGGAGACTGGGCAGGTGCAAGGGGAAGGAGATGATGAGAGGGAGGATATGAGGAAGAATAGGAGGATTGCGGAAAACGAGACGGTGAGGACGAGGGTTGGAATGGAAATCACCACTCCCTTGGAAGGAAGCAGTGCCATTCGGCAGAATTATGGGGAAGAAGAAAAAAAAAAATTGGGAGTTTTCTTGATTCGTTCGCCCTCTGTGTGTGTGAGTGATTAGCTGGCAACAAACAAATTGTAAATCAAACTGTTAGAAAGTTGTCCATAGCATTCACGGATAAATCGTGTCGTTTCGTATTTGAGCAAATTTAGGTTATATTAGTGTCGAGTGCTCACTCAATAATAAAAGCAAGCAAGGTGAGGTACGAAAACAAAAAAAATTGAACAGGATCGTGTGGCGAGCCATTAACTCTATCTAACAGGAGAAGTTTTAATTTTGTTTTTGAGAGAATGAGACAGTTACCTACGGCATGCAAATTACCTCATATCACTTTCTGATCTCATTTGCATTAATTACACTCCTTCAGCAGCTGGTAGAAATAGGATTACCTAGATAATCGATGGCCAAGAGTCCCGAAACAAAGCAATGTTACATATTACACCCTTCCTTTTAACTAAGCTTATACTCAACTTAAAATCAGTTTTAATTGATCAAGCTATCAAAAGAGGTTAGAGCAGGAAATGGGTGCAGAACATACAATAATCTGAGATCCAGATTGGGTCAAATCGATCATCCCTATTAGGCCGCCTTATTTTCTTTTCAATAGATATGCATAATTCCATATTGGCATGTCGTAGTATATGCAAACATATGACATTTCACAATACAAGTATGCACTTTTCTTCAAAAAAAAAAAAAAAATGTAATGGGCCGGCCCGGCTAATAGTTGGCAACCAAATAAAAACATTTGTGATCAATTTCATAATAGTTTCAAAGAGTTACTGATGAATATATTTGGGAAAACTCACAGCAGCTGCAATTCCAACTATGTCTCAAGCCATATACAATACTTACTCTAACAGTAAATCACAAGCACTAATCAATAAATATAAGAGATTAAAAATAGCAAAAAAAAAAAGGCTGAATCCATGGTTTCCCATATCAATTTGTTTCTCCCAACTTCAATTAATTCAATTACCAATACTAATGCCTAAATTTATGTACAATCCACGACCAACAAACTATAAGCTAAAATCAAAATATCCAGTTTGAATCAAAACGCAAAGAAATTCCCAAACTCTCACAAGGAAAAAGAAATATATATGAATACGCAAACACTTCGTGTTAAAAAGGAATCAGAACAGAAACCTTACTGCCCACGCACAAGTAAGACTGTTCATCGGTCGACCGAACCGAAGTACCAAAACTGAACTAACCGATATACTATCTGTCCAAAACCGAACCAACCGAAATATGTTCTTAAAACCGAAGTATAACCGAACCAAATTATTCGGTCACTTCGGTCGGTTAACCGAACTTTTACAATAAAACAGTTTTTTTAGGATTGTTTACTGGGGCCCAAACATACGGGCCTTTTCACTGGGCCCAAACACAAAAATCATGGTGAACATGATACTAACATCCAAGTGAATAACACAGTTTCAACTTTCAATTGTGAACATGATAAAATTATTGTAGTCAGTAAGGACAAACTGTACATAGACCAACCCATCTACTTCACTTGATTCGATCATACAAGAGCATGAGCATGACCCTCTTAAAGAAATTAAAACCAAGACACTCAGAAGATAAATTCTACCTTTATTTACACTCCCCTTTTGTTGTGTGTAAACTGTAAGATTATCTAAGCATACCCACTACACAATTACTTCAAGAAACAGAATCAAAAAGTAAAACATACATGAATCAATTAGAAAAATAAACCAAAAAAGATTTTTACCTTGAACGGACCGGACCGAACTATGGGGCGGTTTGGGGCGGAGTCGCAGGCGATTTGGGGTGGAGGCGATTTGCAGCAAAGGCGCGGCGGCGTGGAGCAAAAGATTTGGACTGTGCGATTTCGGGCGGAGGAGCATACGGAGCAGCGATTTGGGAACGAAGGAAAGGAGGCGGGTTTGAATCTGAAAGTTTGCAATCCATCTCTGGCTTTGTGTTCTATTTTAGGTTTATAATTATAAAATATAGTATTATAATAAATATTAAATTATAATATATAATATATTATATAATATAATATGATATATTATAATTTTTACATATATGGTCTAGTGTGTAAACCATATATGGTTTAGTGTGTAAACTATATATGATCTAGTGTGTAAACCATATATGGTCTAAACCATATATGGTCTAGTGTGTAAACCATAATTTTTTTTTTATTTACTATTTGGGTAATAAACATTTATATAATATTACATATTCATATATATAGCAAATTATTCGAAATAAAAATACATAAAATATATTTTTATTATTTGAGTAATTAACATTTTATATAAGATTAAATATACATATATACTAATTTATATGAAATAAAAAATGAATAAAAAAATAATATATTTAATGTAGAGTAAAATGTAGAGATAAGGGCTGGAGATGAATGTTCAACTCTACTCTAGAGTAGAGTAAAGTCCGCGCTAGAGTAGAGATAAGGGCTGGAGATGGCCTAAGGTCGGCACCTCTCTCTCTCCACGTTACGGGGCCGGCCTGACTAAGCGTCGTACAGAGATGGAATCCGGAAGATCGGGGGTGGATTGAATGCCGGATTCCGACCTGGGATCCCACCAGGCCGACCTTCACAAGGGTTGAGGATCTGGGAAATAATAAAGATGAGGCCACTTGTTTATCAGTGATTATCGATGGGACATCTCAGACTAGCCTGCAGGTCTAGGATGTCTAGCCCGGCCAAAGAGTATATCCACATTTAATGCGACCCTTATCAGCATTAAATGCGTTGCAGATAATGATTGAGAGATCCACAAATCACGCCCAATCAGTCAGAGAAGCGCCGACCTGTCTTGCCGAGTTATTGTGCGACAAGACTAATGAACAGTACCCGAACAGTATTGTATTTAAGGACCCTATAAATAGAGGTCTTGGGCATTTATTTTGGGTTGTTGAATCCCCAACTGTCTAACTCCCTCTACTTTCTCTCTCTAAACCTGTAACCCGTGTAAGAATTTGTAAGAATATCGCAAGTGCCGACCTAAGAATTTGTAAGAATATCGCAAGTGCCGACCTCGTGATCAATTAATAAAATCGTAATTAAACCGCACTTTCTTATTATCCTCCTATTTCGTATTTTCTTTTCTTATTTCTTTAACCGTTGATCGGAAACGTCCATCAACAAACCGAACCGAACATTTCGATTCGCTCGGTTTGTTCGGTTTTAGTCGAATTTTGCACACCCCTACGCACAAGCGATAAAACCCAACTGCAATCTGAAGTATCGATGGTGAAATTCCCAATTGTTGCAATTCAGTGTGAAATTTTGAATCAGCCCATGAATGTACCTGTGAGGACTAGCATTACAAAGTAATTACGAATAATTTTGGGAGATGGAAAGGAGCAGAAGGCCGGATCTAGAACTTGATACAATTATATTCAGTTAATTTTGTGTGCCTACTGTAAAATCAAATGAAAGAAAACTAATCATCAGAGAAAAAAATATAGTACTAAGGTTTAAGGCGCCACCGGACCGGGTTGGTTCGAGCCATTGACCGTTGTTTTGACCCTATGAGTATTAAGAATATATATACAAAATAAATTTAAAAATATCAAAATTTAACATATTTTTTTAGTTGTTAGATAGATCTAAAACTTAGACAAACATAATTTTCAAGTATATGCTACTTTCGAATTTAAGTGTAATACTATAAAATAAAAATAAATATAAAATAAGAGTATTACACCATATATCTTCATTTTTATTTTTTTAAAAGTAAAAAAAATTGTCGAACATTTTATCAAGGGGTTTATGTAAGGTTTATAAACCTTAATTTTACAGGTTTTACTGTTAAAAGGAGGAAGTTTAGGCTGTGATTGTTTACCAACTAGCGTAAAAAATATTTGATTTAAAACTCAATGTTACTGTTGAAACTGTGATTGTTTATAACTTGATGGGTTTCTCTTTGGGCCCACATAGTCTGCACGTTACACGACACAGAAAACCCATACCGACCCACCTGCCAGAATTCATTGCCCAGTCTTTCTTTTTTGACCGATTTTTGCTCATTTCAAATCGAAAGAGCTGGTTGTGATATGATATCAGATTAATTCCCACTTTCCTCCTCCATAAAATCCCTCACCAACCTGTGCGACGTATGGATCTCTCCCAACAACAATCTTTACCGGCAACAGAACGTGGAGAGGACGGTGAACAAAGGACCCAACGGCGAACTGAAGAAACAACAGAGAGCACCGGCAGCGTCTCCGTCACATCTCCGCAGAAAAAACGACTCCGGCCAACAAAGGTACATGATACTCCTCCTTAAAATCAGAAATTGCAATCGGTGTTCAGCTCTTTTATTTAGCCTGCAATATTTTGGTTTAGGTGCGGCCCCAAATTAATTTCGAATAATTGGAAAAAAAAATATTGCAGCATAAGTTCATTGTCTTACATCATAATCCTCTGTATGACCATTCTTTTATATTTTTGGGGGTTCTTACTCCATGACCATGTTGCTTACATTTTATAAGCATTGTTCACGTTTACACAAGGTTTCATGGCTCTGGGGTTTTTTTAATTGGCTTTGGGGGTTTCGCAATTAGGTTTTATTCTGATGTGTGTACAATGTAGAAGAAATATGGTTTTGTCTCATGTATCTCCAGATTTTATATCTATTGTTACATGTTCAGAGTACAATACCACTTCTTTGTAGTTGGATTGTTATATGCCATAATTGTAGATGTCATATCCCGGTGGTATTGGTACTTCAACTGATAATAGTCAAGGAGACGCGAAATGGCCTCCCGAAAATGAAGCCGCATTTGTGAGTGTTTTGTTGGAAGAAGTCCAGTTAGGAAACCGTGTAACCGGTAAGTTCACACCTAATCAATGGACGACCATTCTTGGGAAGTTGACAGAGAGGTGTCCTATTTTCTATCCTTACAAAGTCGCTCAGCTGCAGAGTAAGTACCAACGTATGAAAGTACTTTGGAGAAGGTTTCACAACATAGTCACCAACGCCACCGGATTGGGCTGGAATGAACAAAAAAAAAACGATTGAAGGAACCGCTGAATTTTGGGCGCAATGGACAACCGTAAGTATCTTTTCATTCTCGTGTTAACATACCAATTGTTTCCTAGGTTATTCCTGTTTTTAGGAGTGTTATGAGGTTGAGTTTAAATGTGGCCTGTACTTCCATGTTAAAAACAAGGAACTTTTTATATATGTTGGCGTATTATTTGAATTAGAAGTATATTGTATTTTTCTGTCCTTTTTTGTTTAAAAGGAAATTATTGTTTGTTCTGTTGCCGGTTTTATTATTATCCTCGTCTTAAAATTTAATTTCTGCTGTCACGTGCATAGGCAAATCGAAAGGATCATGACATGGAGGGTAAGGTGTGTTTGCATTATGAAGAACTAACTACTATTTTTCACGGGACAACTGCTACGGGGTCGAATGCGAGGGCATCAACTCAACGGGTGGCCGAGGGACGAAGCTTCGGTGGTGACCGATCTGGACATGTGAGCCAGGATTTTGTCGCAGAGGACGAAGAGGAACCAATGGTCACTCCGACCTCACATGCACGGCAGGGTAGGCCGAGGCGGTACGTTCGTCCGAGGAGGGGCACAGAGTCTAGTTTCGACACTGCCATGTATTCGTGGTCAGACTTGAATGTATCCCTCAAAGAAAGAAACAACCGACCCCCAAAGCTAACGACAATGGAACAGGCTATGCGCGACCTTCAAGCAATGCCGGATATGGACGAAGATCTTTTCCAGTATGTTTGCAAGAAGTTGCGGGATCCCACCAATCGAGCAATGTTTGCAGCGATTAATAGTGACGAGAGACGTCGTACTATTATTAAAATGTGGCTGGATGAGGGCCCCGGTGGTGCTTGAAGGGGATGGCGATCTTTTTAATTGCTCTTTATATGTTGTTGGACTATGTTTAACTTTATTTTCAAGCTACATTTGCTACTGCATGGTTATGGTATAATTCGTTTGTGGACATTTTTATGCGTGTATTTATTAGCAAATACATTTATTTGTAGGATGTCTAATTTTGACGATAGTGACACATATGACGACGAGGTCGATGATTTGGTTGAATACATTGACAGTGATTTGGATCCGGTGGAAGACTTCGATCCCGTCGAAACCTCCTTAATGGTGGGAGCTCAATTTCAACAACTTGTAAACATTTTTGAAAGTTCATCGACCGCATTTCCCCCCCTTAAGGCGAACACCATACCGAGAATCCACCTACACGGGGTTAGACTGGGTAAATGAACTATTAGCTGGAAATCCTCGCCGCTTTAAAGATGCAATGGGCATAAATCAATGTCATTTTAGCATCCTCTGTGACGAAATAAAGAGGGCGGGATTCCACGAAGAAACAAGACAACAAAAAATAGGCATTGAAAAAAGCGTAGCTATTTTCCTTCATACAATAAAAGGCCATCAAAGGCAACGACGTGCGGGTGAATCATTCAGACACTCAGGGGAGACGATTAGTCGTCATTGTCACAAAGTCATCAATGCTCTATGTTATCTTGCCCCCGACTACATCCGTCCCCCAGACTTCAACCGTGTTGCACCGTGGATAAGAAATAATCGTAACCTATATCCCTACTTCAAGGTAAACATGTCGTATCACTTTGTCTTTGAATGTCTCCTATACCGTATATTTTAACTAACTTACTGTATATTGATATTGTAATTTGTTATGTTAGGATTGCATTGGCGCCATTGACGGCACTATTATACCAGCGTGGGTGCCGGAAGGACAACAAGGTTCGTACAGATGTAGGAAAGGTTATTTGGCGCAAAATGTGATGTTGGCATGTGATTTTGACATGAGGTTCACTTTCGTCCTAGCCGGCTGGGAAGGCAGCGCAAACGACGCACGTATTTTTAATCAGACTATGTCTGACCCCAGATATGCTTTTCCCTTTCCACCACCCGGTAATTCCATCATCACACTATTCATATATTATTATTAACAATGTAATTTTTCAATTATTTCTGTTCTCCCATTATATGAGGACATATGGTCATACAAGTAAATTCTATGTGGTGGACTCTGGATACGCAAACATCCCGGGTTTCATGACACCATATCGTGGTGAAAGATATCATCTTCCAGAGTGGTTGGGGTCTAACCAGTTGCCCGGCAATGCTCGTGAATTGTTCAATAGACGACATGCCACTGTCCGTAATGTCATAGAACGCAGCTTCGGTTTGCTAAAAGGGAAGTTTCCCATCATAAAGGGGCTGATGCCAAACTACACAGTCCACTCGCAAACCGACATAGTAATAGCTTGTTGTGTTCTACACAACTTTATTCGGATTCATGAACCGCTCGAAAACATGCCGCCTGAATTCAGGAACCCAGAGTACGTACGACGACATGATCCTCGTGATCGTACTACACCTTTTATGTCCAATGATAATAACTCCAACCCCAACGTTGGTGACCATTGTGTGTTGCGTGACACGATAGCGCAAGCCTTATGGGCGAACCGAAGATAAAACGAACATTGTTGTATTAATGTAACCCGAACACACCAATGCTTGTATTCATGTAACCCGAACACACCAATGCTCGTACAATAGTATTGTTGTTTAATTTATAAATTTCAGCTGTTCTTATTATTACACTTATTTGTAGACTTTCTTCGAGGATAATAGTTGAAGTCGTACCCGGCGACTTGTTGAAAATTGTGCATGACAACCGCATCAAAAAACAAAATTTGATGTTATAATTGTTTTGACTACGTCATATCTAATTTTAAACCATATAGATGACGTTTTGTATGTTTTTTTTTATGTAGTTTTCAATCATCACCCGCATCTACCTTATATTATGTTGTTATATTTGTTTATATCATGTAATTAGTCTATTTTTATTTGTAGCCTTTTTTTGCCAGGTCGAAAGAATCATAAAAAATAATTATGTATAACCTATTAAAATATAACAATGTAGCCGAGCCAAACCGATACTATTCGTATTGTTCAATAGAAACTGAAACAAAACCAAACACAATAGTACAATATTCACATTCTTATATATTAATACCAAATTAAGCATAGTAGAAGTACTTGTAAAAGTTTTATAATTAGTAATATTTATAAAATTAATTCATGCAATGAGACCATTTCTCTTTAAAAACCTGCCAACCTGAACGTGGCCTTTGTTTACATATATAATTTTGGTCCAATTACGAATTACAACACAGAAAAAATTAGTCCAAACATGAACGATAATGAAAACCGGTGTTCGTACGCCAAACACTCTCGCACAATTACACAAGTAATCGTACCTTGAAAACAACACAGTCATATCCAATTAAGGTGAATACGCATGTGATGCCCTCCACGATTCCACTTTGGTCCATAAATTCACGCGCATCACCATGTTCCATTAACGCCTTCCCATGCGCTTGGATTATTGGAACATTGTATCGACCTCCTTTACACAATAAGATTGCTCTCGTAGTATCATTAACTTGGTGTTCGATAAAAAATATAAATAATAATGTTAACTTCACATAAATCTCAATACTAGATGAGATTTATGTAAACTTCACTTAAAAAATGTAAACTTCACATAAATCTCAATAAAAAATATTAAAAGTAAAAAAGTGAAATTATAATTTAAAAATATTAATAATAATGTTAAGTTGAAACATGTGAAACTATAAAAAAAAGGCTTAGTAAAGTCTGAAGGAGATTTTGGACGATGCTCCATGGTTATGGTGGTCACACACAAAGTTGTGATATATATTGTAGAGAATTATTAATTTGACTTGCTTACACGAGGTCTGACAGAGGGTTCTTGTCGTGGCCTACGGGCAACCCTACGCTTTTCCTAGGATACTCTGTCAACCCCTTCTCTCCTTCCATCTCTCTCCACCCATTTTTCGACCTGAACCTTCTTCAGTTCGTGCACACACACACTCACATCACACTGCATCATCACCGAATGCGCCAAGCCCACATTCCCCTACGATGACCGCCCGGCCCGAACCCCGCTCCCGGACCCGAACACGCACCGCCCGCCGCACCTCCCCCTGCTGCCGCCACCCCGACGAGCCCGCCACCGGCATCTGCGCCTCGTGCCTCCGCGAACGCCTCTCCGGTCTCGACCCCATCGCCGCCGTAGGTGCCCCCAACGCGCCGTCGCCGGATCTCCGGCGATGCAGGTCCGTGGTCACCTTCCCCAAATTCGAAGGTTCTACCAGCGGCAGGAACGAGCCTCGCCGCAAATCGTGCGAGGCTGTCTCGGATCGGAGCTCCCTGTGCACTCTCTTCGACGTGGACGATTTGCGGAGCGGATCGGAAGAAGGCAAAGCTAGAGTTGAATCGAAGAATGTGGGGAAACATGCGGGGTTCTCCAAAGCCGCCTCCGCCGCGATCAAGCTGGAGAACAACAATGGCGACGAGATTAGGGTTTCGAGTCACAAATTGGGGGAATCCAGCGCTGATGTCGATGGGGATATCGAAAGAGGAGATTTCAAGACGATGAAAGAGTACATAGATCTCGAATTCCAAAACAAGGCCAAGAAATCCAAGGTTTTGAGAGAGAAAATTACTGGAAATCTCTTGGGCGCAGCCTCTGTTTTCACCAGGAGATTATTAAGCTGGAGACAGAACAATAATACCAATCAGGTGAAGAATCAGAAAAACCACATGGAAGGGAGAAAATCAGGGAATGCTCCAAATCCCGAGATCTCGTTCGAGGAACCACGGGCTTCATGGGATGAGTTCATGATAGCCCGAACAATTCCTAGGTTAACTCCCATGTTATCTGCAGTCGAGCACGGCATCTTAGTGGGCACCAACAAGTTCGAGAGCCACAAGCTGTCGGTGGATGGGGCAATGCACTCGATTGTCGAGGATGAAAGCACTTCCGGGCACTCGGGCTCCGGCCACTCGAATTCAGATTCGTCTTTCACGGTGAGACGGTGCAGTTTCGATCAATCGAGCTCTGTCCGGAGTTTCGGGAAGAAACCATCGGGCTCGGAGGATCATGATAATGTAAAGCTAGTGATCACCGAGAAGGAGCTCAAAGACTGGCGTTTGAACGACGGGCTGGAAAATGTTGGGCCTGTTTACGGTAATGGAAATATAAATGCTGCTAATATTGAAAATGCTGCGAAAAAATCCGTTGGGTGGCGTAAGGCTTGTTATGCCTTTGGTTTCGGTCAAAAGTTTAGTGACAATCACAATACACATGGAGGAGTTGGGCCCACGAGGGACGGTGTTCCTAGGCTTGCACGTAGCGTAAGTGTTGTGGGCCCTAGGAATTCATGTGATTCTGTGGAGGCAATTTATCGGAGGAGAAGTGTAGATGGTGGCCGTGATTATGGTTTGAATGGGATTATCGAGGGTTTTAAGCTAGAAAATGATGCGGAATTTGGTAATAGGTGTTGTTCGGATGGCGTTGGTGTTGGGATAAAGCCATTCTACATGACCCCTTTGAGGAGCTTGAAGCATAGCAAGTCTAGGAAGTTGAAGCTATAGAATTTGCATGTTGTGACGGGTTTGAATGTTTAGCAGTTGAACTGAACAACTAATGTGAATCGGAGAGTATGTATATGATCGAGTATCGATTGTAATGCTTTATAGTTTTGACATTATAGTACAAGTATCTTAGATGTTATGTTCTTGGCTGCCTTTAGTTCAGTGAAATCCTTCAATGAAATCGCACATTTTCCGGGAGTAGGTTTCTGCTCGACGAACGAGATTTGCCACTGTTCTGTGCTTGAGTTTTTTATTATTATTAGTATTATTTTTTCATTTGTGTATATCGAATGTTGGCCTCAACTTGTTTTAAAGATTCAATTTATGGTCCGGGGGATAACTAGCAGGGCTGATCTACTTGTGAAACAAAGAGGGCGATAGCATATAGCTTTGTCCAAACTATAAAACATTTCTACCTATTTGGAATATTAATGGGGATGAGGGGACGATTTCTAATCACTGATGTACAGAGAATGTGTGTTATGGAGAAAATCATGAACTCAAAAATCAAAATCCACCTCAAAGAAAATATCTTCAAAATCCAGCATAACCATAACCAGATAATTATAAAGCCTTGAAAATCCCAAAATTTACAACCCTAAATTCTCCCGAAGTGTGAGAAGTACCATGATTCTTAAAACGGGATACAAGGCAACACCGTGTGACTGGAGTTTTGTGTGTTCCACTTCCACGGTCGAAAACACAAAACTGAACAGAATTATAGTTAAACTAAGTGCCAAATAAAGAAAATAAAAAGGTATTTATCTTTGTATATCACCCCATAATCTCCTCCTGCAATTTACTCTTCTGGTTGACCTCAGATTCCAAGAATTCACAGAAAAGAAAAAAGAAAAACTTCCTAATAGCAATCACACAATTTGTTCCAAGAATTCCCACCACAAATTCAAACAATCCTAAATTTTTTTACACCGTGGCCCGGAAAAAAGAACTCACCGGCAAGTGCTCAAGTACTTCTTTATGTACTTAGTCGGACTTCCCTTAACCAAACTGTTAGCCCGCAACCTTTTTCGCGACCCTTTAATCGGCACTATCTCTTCTTCTTCCTCCTCCTCCTCATCTGTATCGACTCCCACACATCCCGAATTAGTTTGAATCCTTATCCGCCTCGGAATATACACATTCAAATAATAACTCAAGATACTCCCTTTATTTTGGCTTGGGAAACACTCCAAGGCCCACTTCACAAATCCCCCGCCATGCGAGCTCGGTTTCATTCTAACGACATTCGAGAATTCACTCTCGTCCTCTCGACTCCACAGCCTCGACACATCTTCTCCCATGCAGTCAAACTTCCATTGCCAGAAGGCGGGCCCGAGTTCCACCCTCAATCGAGTCCTTTTATCCGAGACGTGCCGTTTAACACACTCGATCGATAATGGGATTGCGCATTCACAAGTGTCGGGCCTTCCTTTGCCGATCATGTTGTCGTGTTTGGTATCTTCTTGCGTTTTTCCATTGGTGGGCCATATTTGGGCCCCTAACCACCTTGAGTCGACCGGTTTTGGCCCATTTTTGGTGGTGCTTGTGGAAGGAGGAGACCATGAGGGCACGTGGACCTGGAAACGGGGACCGATAGGTATTGCTAACTTGACGCAAGGATTAGTGATGAAGGCCAACCTATCGGTTGGTTTGGTGCTTTCAAAGGTCTCGGTTTTTGGTTTTTCGGAGAGCTTCATGTGGGCAGGTTTAGTAAAGAATTTTACCTCAAGTAATGATGACTCCTGCATTAAAGGAGGAGAAGCTAAAATTACAATTTAGCCGTACAAAATGTTATAGAATGTGTGACGTAGCGCAGCGTAACGAGTGGGAAAAGGAAACTGATATATTTTATTTCAAATATATCCGCCTCCTCTAAAAGAAGAGAAGTCGTCTTAAATAAAAGTCCTACTCGGACCTAAATTAGTTAACTTGCCTACCAAGACAAGAATATGAGAAAATAAATAAATATTCACTTACCATCTAAATAATGCAAATAAGGGTAATAATAATAATAACAATAATAATAATAAATAACTAGACTAAAGGAACCAATCCATCATGTTTATCCAAAGGCAATCTCGTCTTCATCATCAATTAAAAAATGTTATAGAACTAGAAGAAGTATCTCAAGTAAGCGCATCCGAAAATGGATAATCAATTAAAAGACATTCGGTGTTCGTAGAAATCAGAGGTTCGTCCGATTGCAAGCATTTGAAGATCAGTAGTTTTCAAAATCCACACTTGACGATTGGAGTTGAGATTTATTACAAATATAGCTCAAATGATGGCAAAAACACGACTGAATACTAGGTAACCAAAGAGTATGTTAGATCAGAGGACTGACGTACCGAAAGCGTACAAAAGGGATAAACAAGAGAAAGACTCTCAAATATCTTTATTAATCAAATTCTACCCATTGAAACAGAAGACAATAAGAGTCTTTCTGAACTCCTAAAAAACCCTAATCTTGTCAACAAGTAAAGGATAATTAAATATATTTCTTACCAAATAGAACACTAAAATAATTAAATCCCTTTACTAACAAATCTAGGACTAAATAGTTCCAGTAAATAAAAGGAATAAATAATTAATTAAAGATAGAACTCCTAAAAAGCCCTAATCTTGTCTAACAAGTAAACGATAATTAAATATCTTTTCTACCAATAGACCCCTAGAATAATTAAATAACTTTACTAACAAATCTGGGACTAAAATACTAACAGTAAATAAAAGGAATAAATAATTAATTAAAGATAGAACTCCTAAAAAGCCCTAATCTTGTCTAACAAGTAAAGGATAATTAAATATCTTTCCTGCCAAATAGACCACTAGAATAATTACATAACTTTACTAACTTATCTATGATTAAAATACTAACAATAAATAAAAGGAATAAATAATTATTAAAAAATCCAAAAGATGATGCTTGTCCTCATTTCCATCCATAACTCTGGGTCAAAAACTTGCTCCACGACATAGATCTCAACATCAAGAAGCAAATATAAATTCCAGTAAGCTTCAAGAAGTATAATATGGAAAATTCACAAGAACGGGTAGCATGATTTGAAGATCTGACACTTTTATAACATTGGTATTCACTACGGTTTGCAAAGCTAAAGACCTTAAAAGGGCAACAACTTAATCAGTTGTAAAATTGTCGTTGTTGCTTGTAGAAGATGTGAGGACACTAAAATGAAGGAAAACAAGTTAACAGAACAAAATTGAATGTTAGGAAAATCGTTAAGAAAATTATGCTACTGATGTGCATATCAACAACCACCAAAATTATGCTACCGATACAACAACAACAACAACAACATACCCAGTATATTCCCAACAGGTTGGGGTCTGGGGGGTCAGGTGTACGCAGACCTTACCCTTGTAATTATACAAGGAGGCTGGTTCCGTAGCGACCCAAGGTGCATTGCGCCGTTTGATATATTTTTTTTTTCTAGAAATTTCACTAATAGAAGAAGCACTAGAATTTAATTGAGCCATTTTGATCTAGTCCATTATTAGCACTATGCCAGGAGAATTGTCAACAATGACTCTTCCAGCTCCATTTGCAATGGACAAAANTAGCAATTAGCAAAAGCCAATCGATCAATGCAATGGTAAAATCAGACTGGTAACCATGACAGGCAAATATATACACTTTTGCAAGTTCATACACAGCTATTACGTAATCACAAAAATTGTTGCTATGCAGCCAAACTGGTCAAAGTTGATTAGGTTGTGATATGTATTACTTTTCAAAGGGGTTTGATAGTTAATTTATATTGATTTTTGTAAGTTTACATTTCAAAATGAAAAATATGTAGTTTCATTGAAACTGTGTCCCCCTATTTAAATAGGAGGATGCCAAACCTACTATTCATCAACAACCAAATCCAAAGCTACAATTATTAAAAGCTAAATTCACATCATCAACGCTAACACATTGTTCAACTCATATGAGTACATCATCAAGCATCAACTCAATTAAGTTGGAAAAGATACAACAACAACAACAACATAGCCTTTAGTCCCAATCAAGTCGGGGTAGGCTAGAGTCACTAGAGGTGGCAATGACTGACACGACATGAAACACAAACAATACACAATTAGAAAAAACGATTATAGCAACAAATGACACAGCACGAAACGAAAAGCACGAAAAAAAAAAGAAGTTAAATTTAGATTCAATATCATATAGTTGTGATTAAATAAAACATATAACGCGAAAACACGAACACAACACGTTATATAGCCATATATGTGGACCGGAAATATTCTAAGTACGTGGAGCTCGACCAGAGTGGAGAATGAGCTGTCGGAAGTCAAAGGATTGCCCAAGCTAGGACGACCTTATCCTCGGACGACCTATAGGCTAACGACCTTAGGCTACGAAGACGACCTAATCCCTAGGCGACCCAAGGGTCCCTATATGAAATTTTTAGATGACCTGAGTAACCACGGACCTAACACAACTCGACCTCGACTATCAAAAAGTGATAGAGACCTGCAAGAGATCACGATCTAAACGATAAGGAGGAATCTTAAGAGAATAAGATGGAATCGGCTATGAGGTGATTAGAATATGGATAAGCATCAAACCCGGGCAGTAGGGCAGAGCATTTTGGGTAGGTATTTCTCTATAAAAGGTACTGAGGTATCACAAAATCCTAACTTTACATTCTATATACATTATATACTCTCTAAGATTACAGAGTATTATCATTTTATTAACTTAAGCATCGGTTAAGCATCGGAGGCTCTACGCCTGAATCACCTCCGGTGTCGAGTTAGCAGATCGGAGCTCTTCTCAACCAGTTCTATGTAGACGTAGTGACTCATCAACACAATAGCACAATTTGCCAACCCTTGCTCAAGCACTACACATAAATCGCGACCCGTGGAAGTTTTCAACCCCCACGATTCAATAGTCCAACAAAAAATACAGTAAATTCCGCTAGAATTCCACATCTCCCTCTAATTTCTTACATTATGCATACCAAACTCCATATTCTCCCAAACACATTTTTTTTCCCAATCAATTCAATTTGAAACCCTAATATCAAGTTCCAATTTTTTTGCCTCTATCCTTCACAAATCCAACAAGCGGTATACTTAGTTAACATTGATATTTTTCTTCTCATACTCATTTACCTATCATCATACCATATGTCCACTTAAACATAAAGNNNNATCATGAAAAGTTCCACACTTTAAGCAAATCTAGATAAAACGAAAATGGAAGCAAAACAAAATAAAGAGAGATAATGATAAAAGGTAAAACACATGGATTTCTCATAACATGGAAGGTACACCATATCATCTAATATAAGTCGAGTTGAGATCGAGAAAACACAACAATAACAGCAACAATTTGTACCTTCTAAAAAATTACAGAGAATGTGAAACGCCTCTACCGTCGTGTTGCGAGAAAAATAAAATAAAAATAAAAAATAAAGAGAACCTGTTTTTTATGAAATTATATATGTTCCCCACGATGATTTGGAATTTTGGATTTGAAAAGGTCTAGAACAATAGAATATGTGGAAATTTTTTAGGCGTGGTTGGACATGTATCCGTTCAAAATGAATTTTTTTTTTATTAAAAAAAATAATATATTTAAAAAATGTATTCATTTGAGATTTCTAAAGACTTTTTAATACTTTGAAAGACTTTTTAAAATTTTTAAAAGTTATTCATTTGAATTTTAAAAAATCTTACAAAATCATAAAGTTTTTACTTACTTGAAATTAAGATTTGTTGAGATTTTTTTAAAAAAAAAAAAACCATATATCAAATCCTTTTTCAAATATCACTTTCAGATTTTTAAGATTTCACAAGATTAGACCTAAATCTGCAAGTCTTAAAAAGTCTCAAATCTCAATAAGTATAAATATGTCACTTGAAATTCGAAACAAACATACCCGTGTTAGATGTTAGTGGGATTTAAATTTATATTAATATAATATTTTAAAATAAAATAATTAAGGTTGATTTGAGGTAGTATGAGAGAGATGATATGAAGTAATGATTAATTAAAGAGTTGATGAATAGTAAATGAAAGTTGATCTTATGTGTAATAATGATTTATTGATATTATTTAATTACTAGTACAATACTCGTGGGTGTTTGTTTTACACATAATTGTAAAAAGTAATATAAAATATATTTTAAATTTTAAGTGATTATTTCTATTTTAAATTACACCCACCACACGTACGACTTACTCATCGCCACATGTACGACTTATTCATCTTATATTATATTATTTTTCTTGACTTATATCATATAACTACTTTGCAGTTAAATTTATTTAATTGAACAATATTTGTATTTTTTTCAAATATAATTAATACATAATTTATTTTTATTTTTAAATATAAATATAATTATGTATTTATTTTATATATAGAATGTAGATGTCAAATTGAAGCGAATCAAGACATGGTTATTTCGATATATTATATATGAAAAACTGATAATAAATACGAAAGGTAATTTCTAATATATATTTACAATCTATTACTATAAAAATGGATATGGAATAACTTGAAATAGCATGTAAGTTCCCACCTAAAAAATCGATTTTACTATCATTGTTAATTTTAGAAATTTTTTGAAAATGGGCGGCTAACTTTAAATTTGAAATTCATATTATGAAAACACGAGATTTGTTTAGTAAGAATCGTAGAAATTTACTTCCAAAAAATCCAGTTAATCATTGCCTTAAAATTTTTCGATGAAACATGTAAATTAGTTACAAAATCTAGGTCAATCATATACCAAATAAAATGTTTGAAATTTTTTGACATCTTTCGGAAAATCATTCCAACTTAATTGTTAAATATTTTTTTATCCATATTTATCTAACTATAAATCATATATATTATGGTCACAACTAAAAAATTGTTAAATGAAAATAGTTTTCATATTTCAAATTTTTCAACTTAATTGATGATTTTTTGTCCATATTTATCTAATTGCTAAGTCTATTTAAAGTTTAGAAAGAATCTCATATTATGGTGGATTCTTGGTAGATATTTTTTTGTACATATCTACTAAACAATTAGTTAGGATAAATATTCGAAAAAGAAAAAAAGCATTAGAAGATAGTAAAGAGTAGATATAAAAAAAGAAAAAAAAAATCCGATAAGATGAAATCAAACAACATATTTATGAATTCGATGAGATTTAAATTTGACTATAAAATCTATATCACACAACAAATTTAATAATATATAATTTTGAGCATAAAATCAACAGATAATTTATTTGAATATAAAATCTAATCATTAATGAATAGTTTTATATGTACCAATTTTTTAGTTGTATATGTACCAATTTTATCTTATCTTATTTTTACTTTTTTTTTTTAAGACAAAGTCATAAATAATAAAAAAAAAAGTTCTATTAAAATATCATATAAATTGCAGCTTTAAAAATGTTAGAGAAGAGTTTTGACTACATATGAATTAAAAGATCATATTTCATAATGTAATAGAAGAATTTTGATTCTTGAGATTTAAACTCTCTAAGTTAAAGAGATAACAGAGTCCAATATCATGACTAAAATAAATTTAATAATTTAAAAATATCAAACTTCATAAATCAATGTGGGATAATATATACTATTTTTTAGATATTTTTTTAATAATAGTTTAGAAATATTTAGGAGATTTCACACATTTTTTTAAAATATATAAAATATTTTAGATATTTAACATATGATATATAATAATTTACATTTTTCTTTTTCACATGTTATATAACATTATAGATGCTTTTAATATTTCATATAAACATGTTCTATGTGTAAAAACAGTTAATTTTCCTAATACATTTTCGACAAATTAACATATGGTATTACATATTGACCCTGTATTTTTAATTTATAAATATTATTTGTCAGTACATCGGAGTAGCAACTTCTTGGTACAGATTGATTATTTTTGTATTTATCTAACTAACAACTATAATATATTCGCCATTTTTCACGAATTACAAATACGAATCTTAAATATCTCATATATCTCTCTCTATATATATGTGAAATTATTTTGTTGAGAAATTCAATGGTATCTTGCGATCACCGATGGGAATTCTCAATTGTCAATGGTAGTCCACTATAAATTATGTATTGGGCCTATTGGCTATTGCCGAAGATCAAAACCTAATAAACAAAAGATTCATCCGCTAAAGTACACATCTTTGCACACATGACATTATTATAATGCGTATTATTTCGTATCACCGAAAAATCCAAATTCACGTCAAAGACATCACCATCCCGTTAAATTTCCACACTGACAATTCACCCTATTCAAACACAATCATAATCGAAACATATTGACTTAACCGTACCCGTACATTTTTGTTTTCGGAGAACTTCTTAGGGTCAATTGTCACAAGCTCAACAAATTTGTTGTTTTGTATTGAAACCCTCAAATGTAATGTACATCCATTGAAGCCTTTTCGATCTTTCTTTTACTGAACAAGCAAAAAGTGAATGAAGTAGGTCAATTCATATATTGTCATATAAATGTGTGTTCAAATTATGACTATACCAACAAAAGCTAACATGTTGCTTAATAGTCTCCATCTAACGTGTGGCTAATGCATTTCCGTTCAAATAGTATGACATGTCGACTTATCTAACTATACGCTTCATAAAAAAAAAATATACATTTTTGAAACAGACTGTAAATAGAATACAAAGTCAGCACATTGTTGGTCAAATAATATGACAAGCCGACCCGCTTAACCATTAAGCTTCATCACACAAGAATTTATGTTTTTTTAAAATATATTGTAAATGGAACATAAAGCCACCAGGCGGCAGTATGACAATTGAGGCTTGACCACCAAACTATTAAGCTGTCTCACATAAGAATTTATACTTTGTATGAAATAAATATTATCATTATTTGTCAATTGAAACATTTTTTTGTAAACCATACCATATTCTTTTATTACTTAAATAATACTAATAATTTTATTAATATAGTATATTTTACTTGTTGTATAAAAGATTGACTCCACTATGGAGCCAACTGTTGGCTTCTTAGCAATACTATATAAAATTAACCAATACTTGTCATCAATATTTTCCATCAAAATCCCTCCTTTGAAATGCCAATTGAAACAGGAATTGCTACAGTTCCACTTAAAGCCAAGCATCAGAGATTCAGAATCTGGCTACACTATGACTTGATTGAGCCCCATAACAGTAAATCCGTGGCTCCTTGAGTATAATTCCATCCAAATATTGATGCAATGTATCGTAAATATGTTCACAGCAAAAAAAATAAAAAATAAAAATAAAAAAGTTGCAAATATGTTCACAGCAAAAAAAATAAAAAATAAAAATAAAAAAGTTGCTAATCAAAACGAAACGAGTTCAAGAGCAACTCATTCCTTACAACTCTTCTATCCAATACTCACAACCAAACCTAAACAAACCTCTCGAGCCACCGCGCAAAGTTCCAAAAAAAGAAGACACATTCTAAACCTTTCAAAACTCAATGCTTAACCACTTGTTGTGTATAAAAAAAAAAAAAACATTTTAAACCTTTCAAAACTCAATGCTTAACCACTTGTTGTAATACACGCACGTGCTCGGCGAGATCTCCCCATCACTCGAGCACATACTTATCCTCGGGCACACCCCACACGGCATCGAAGCAAACGCGCCCAACCTCGGGCCCTTGTGGGCCCCACCACCACCCGCCACCCTATAACAAGTCGCCCCAATAGGAATCGAGTAGTAATCCCCATAACCGGTGCTCTTCACCTCTATTATCTCATTGTCAAGAACCATCGAGTTCAGTATCTCCCCGACTTGCTCGGGAGAGATACTGAAATTGACAACCCGATTTTTCAAAAGATAGCCGTGGGCCCCATCCACTGTCCCCACCTTCTGAATGCTAATGTATCGGTAGCTCACCTTCCTTAGCACGTCTATGAGGGCTTCGTCAAGCGCCCCATTGGCGTAAAAATCGCCGCCGCTGAGCTCTTTTGAAGGCTCGAATTCGACTCCCATGTAGTGCTTCTTCCCTTTGTTCTGAATGTTGACCACTTCTTTTATCAGCTTCTTGGCCAGCAGGGATTTTATGGATTTGTTGACGAGGTTGTCTGCAATCTTCGTCTCGAACTTGATGTCTCGCGTCCAAATGCCCGAGTCTTTCTTGCTTTTGATCACGTCGAGGATGGCTTGCTCGGCGTCCGCCTGGCCTGGTGGTAGTGAGTCGGGCCTTTTCCGCTTGAGGGCGGAGTTTGTGAACGAGCGGCTCATTGCTGTTTTGAGAAAGTGGGGCCTGCAAAATGAAATGACTTTGAACTTTGCATTCGTATAAAAGAATTGCTTTAAATACCAGTCACTAGTTAAGAAATATAAAATCGATTTTTCCAACATCAACAACAACAACGAGCAGTTAAAATCCCACCAAGTGATCAGCACTGCCACGACTAGGAGAAAAAATCAACGAGTCCTAGGTTTGAAACAAGACTTGATACGTTGAATTGATTCATATTACAGAGTACAATCAATGGCTGCAGTTTTCCTAAATTTGCAAGTATAGATAAAAAAAATAAATTAATATTGGAACTTTGCAGCATTATTCTTAGTGACAAGAGCATCTAAATTTGCACGGACTGCTCCACACCACATGAACATTGAACTATGCTACTTCAAGCATAATAAAAACTAATGACATTCTATTTGATAACATCAAATTTACTGCCCCTATTGATTAAATTATGCTGGTTAAACCGATAAAGGGTATAAACATATGAAACAACATTCAAGAAATTGGTCTAGCCTTGTCATAGATAAACCCTTTTTTATCACAGAAAATACATAAAATGGAAATCTGAAGACTATATATATTATCATGAAAACCTTGGAGGTATAATACATAGTTCACTCAAATTCATTATCCTGCAGACAAGTAATAAAAAGCATTCAAATTTATCACATATTTCACAGTATCAACAAAGCAATTAACCATTCTGAAACATTGAAGAACATTTTCTTAAAAAAAAATCTCCACCGAGCACATCAAATTATTTCCGAACAACATTGAACAAGAGACTCTGTAATCTTTCCAGATTTCAATTGAAGAAGATGGGTTAACCATTATGAACCTCGCCCTTTTAGTCATCTGGGCAATTGGGGCTGGAAGATTAGAAGTAGGAACTGACCTCGTCGGGGCTTCGAAAGTAACACAAAACTCTTAGCGCCGGCGGCGTTGGCCGATCAGAGATGAACCGGGAACTGAGCTCCAAAGGATTGGAGGTTAATTGAGAGGTACGCACTTGCAACTTAGGTCTCGAGTTCGAAATGATCCTTTTTAAGAA